TGTGTCAAGGTCCGGCTGCATCTAACAAGTCACAAAGGGGCTGTGGCTTGGCATCTTTTCTTTAAAATTCTCTGGTGTTGGGAAAGATGCCTCTTGACCTCAAATCAGTCACAGCAGATGATCCTGAGCTAGATGGACCAGGGGCCAAGGCTGCTTCACAAGGAGCAAAGCTGTGTGAGAGAAAGTTGAGTTCAATAAGTAATTCAAATATAGGTAAGAACATAAGGGAAGCCAATGTTGGATCAGGCCAATGGCCCATCCAGTCGAACATCCTGTCACACAGTGGTCAAAAATGGCAGGTGCCATCAGGAGGTCCATCAGTGGGGTCAGGACACTAGAAGCCCTCCCACTGTTGCCCCCCCCCCCAGGACCAAGAATACAGAACATCACTTGCCCCAGACTGAGAGTTCCTATTCCTATCTATACCTTGTGGCTAATAGCCACTGATGGACCTCTGCTCCGTATGTTTATCCAATTCCCTCTTGAAGCTGTCCATGCTTGTAGCTGCCACCACCTCCTGTGGCAGTGAATTCCATGTGTTAATCACTCTTTAGTCATTATCAGTGAGTTGGATGGGCAAGCGCCAGCTGTACAAGGCTGGGGGTGGGGAGAGGGATCTACTCTCTGCCCTCTTTAGGCTGTGTCCCATTTTCCTTGACTCCTCCTGTGACCCCCCCACCCACAACATTCTTTACATCCCTGAGCATCAGGATGGATGTAGGCCATTCTTCCATTATGGAGCACCAAGCCTAGCCTCAGACCCACAGGTATGCACACAAATGGTGATTCTTGTCAAGTGCACGAACTTACACACTTTCTCCCTCACACACAGTGTGCAACCAGTACCCCAGCATGGATAAAATACAGTTTTATTTTACAGGGTTCACAACAGCAGCAGACATGGCTGTTTTCAGTCTTGCATTTAATGCACAAGAGTTACAAAAAAAAAAAGGAAAGGAAGAAGAAGGTTTCTCTCTTTGTTTTTTGCTTTTAACAGAGAAATCAGAGAAGCACATCCTGGCTTTATTCTGCCTCCCACCCTCTGACAGTTTCCCTTGTCCCACTTGGAACAGAACACGTGCAAAAAGCCAGACTCCTACCAGCATCCCAGAGACGTTGGCAAGTCTGTTTAAATTACTTTTAAATGACTATTTTTCCCCTCTCTTTTTTGTTATAATTATTATGTTTCAAAAAATATATATATAAATAGATGCGGGGAACACAGGGTGCTCTGCACTGGGTCCCCTTTGAGAGCGAGTGCCGTCTCAGGATGGGAGCTGCTTCTCCACGTGTGCGTGTGTGCTGGGATAAGAAACAGCCATGGAAGGGAAAGGCAGGTTTCAATGGTTACCCCCCCCCCCAACACACATTTTGCAGGGAAGTGGGGAGAAAATGGCTGAAGAGGCAAGTCTCTTAAGTAAAACGAGCCAATGGACCAAAGGCTCAGAAGAAAGCCCGACTTATCCCACAAGGTTGTGGGGTGGATAATAAGGAATAACATCATGTGCACAACCCTGTGCTCTTGGGAGGTAGGGTGTGATACAGTTGATAGCATAGCCTTTTTTTTTTCAATAAGCCAATAACTTCTGGACTTCAGCTTAGCCACAAGGTTAGGTGGTTTTAAAAAAAGCATTAGACATATTTGTGGCTATCAATGGCTACCAGCCACAAGGACTTCAACAAAACCCCTCCATGCTAGAAAGCAACATACCTGTAGCTGCTGTGCGCAAGAAACAAGCAGAACTCATCTGTTGTGTCCTGCTTGTGATCCTCTCAAGGGCAACTGGCTCGCCATGGTTTGAAGGCAGCAAGTGACTTGCCGTGCAATCCTATGTGCAGTTGCCCTGGTCTAAGCCCATTGATTTCAGCAGACTTCGAAGGATATAACTCTGCTTAGGACTGAAGTGTTGGTAATTTAGCATAAAGTACATGTCTGTTCATGGGAATAGTGAACCTCTCCTCGCCACTTGGCAGGACATTACAGACGGGCACATTACAAAGCGATTACATCTGCTTGATGGTTCTGTGGCCACTTTGGTTAAAAGGTCTGTATTTTTGAGGGCCTGATCCCATGGGGGTCATTCTTATGGACATTTCCAAGGCCTGTGTAAGACCCCTGAATCTTGCTGTGCTGACTTCTTCCTCCAGCCATTTCCCCTCCCATTTCCCTCATACAACCTAAAGACAGAAATAAACTGGGGGGTGGGGGGAGTGATGCCAGAACCAGCCCTGAGTAGCTGGAAATTGCCAAGGGAAAGGGGCAGAGTTAAAAGTAAGAGACTCTTGAGTCCCCCAGCATTTAGCTCCACTCCTATCCTCTTACAACTGCCACCCTCGCAATTTTTTTCCACCTGGTCTGGTGTTCTTGGCAATTTCAGCCTTCACACATTGTTTTATATTTGCATTTATTTAAAGGAATTAATTTATCCAGATGAGCAATGGCTATCGTCCTTCCCCACCTCTTGAAGAGGTGTGAATCCTCCGTTCCCTCCCCTTCTGGCCAAAATGCCTTGATTTATCTCTGGTTTGGCAACATCTGGCAGCCGCCCCTCTGAACCCCAGGATCTACTCTGAACCCCAAGATCTATTCTGTGCTGGAAAGAAGAAACAAAAATTGCTTACAAAAATAACAAAAGTCTTGTCCACCCTGCAGATTAAATAATTACATTGCCTGTGGCTAACATCAGGACCTTTCCACCACTCATAATCTTTATTATTTAACTTACCCTCTTGTGCTCCCCCCCCCCCCATTCCCCCCCCCAAAGGCACAAAGATCCAGGTGGTTAGCTAAAAAAAATGCTGGAATCATAATCACTTTTGCTTGGCTGCTTTGAAAAGGTTTCTTTTTTTCTCTTTTTTTTTTAACATATACACAAGATGGATTTTTTCTTTAATATAATTTTTCCTTATATAACAACAACAACAACAACAACAAAAAAGCAACGAGAAGAAATTGGTTCTGTTAATATAACTGTTCCATAAAAATCTCTCTTATCTCTTGCTCTCCTTTCTCTAATGGGTGGTTCCTTGTGCCATTCCTCGATTGGTCCTTGACCGAGACCGTGGGCTGCTCTTGTGTAGTCTGCGTTTGTAGGTGGAGGCTGTAGGAGTGGAGGGAGAAGAAAAGACATCTTGTTAGCCGTGGATGAAGGTTACAGAGACCCTGCTTGTCCTGAGCTAGCTTGACCAGGCTCCTCTCTCTCTCCCCTCCCTGGAAAAACACTGCGGAGGCTGTAGCGTGTTATTCCTCTGGCTGCCCATGCTGAACGTGCCACGGCGCCAGTCGGCTAGCCACTGCACAATCGGGCCTTCTCTCGCCCCTGGAGCTCTGGGACCCAATGAGTCAGCCTGGCTTTTCAGTCTGTTTTGTAGCAACTCCTCTCCTGCCTTTCCTCCCACCCACCCCTTTCAACAGACACTGAAGGTAAAGAGAGCAGGGTGTTGCCTGGGGTCCTGCGCTGGAGGCCATTCTTCTGCTGTACCGTGGGTACTCGTAACTGCTGATAAGCCAGGCATTATGGCCCTTTCAGCCAAAGGTGGCAAATTTGCTGGCCATCCTGATCAATGAATTGGAGAGCCCTGAACCAAGAGTCAGTGTGGCGTAGTGGTTACAGCATTCGCCTGCCAGCTGGGAGACCCGGGGTTCAAATCCCAACTCTGGCAGGAAGCCCACCTTGGGCCAGTTGCCTGCTCTCGGCCTAACCTACTTCACAGGTGGAGGACAGTAGGACCACCTTGAGCTCCTGGGAGGAAGGTGCAACAGGTGGTGTAATACGCTTGAGGGTCTAGTGGGAATTTGTGAATGGTGTGACATTGGAGACAAATCCACCCCCTTAGTTGAGGCAGGGAGGTAGATGGGTGGTTGTGGGAAGAAACACAGCATTTTTAGATGCTGGCAGGCTAAAGAGAAAGCAGAGGGGGTGACAGGCTTTGTGTTAGATTTGAAACCTGGCAATGAAATGAGACAGCCACTGTTGGGGGCAGTGGTTCAAGCACCTGGTGAGTTCAGGATCTCCCCTCCCTCTCCCTCGCCCTCAGATCTGTTTCCCCAGATCTGCCACTACCTTTATTTGTAAACCAAAGAAACTGCTACAAGGGCACTGCAGGACTCTAGTTATTTTTCCTTCCAAGGGAACCAACCCAGGCAAATGCAAGCCCTTGAACTTCTCACCACTCCAAGAAGAAGGATATGCCTAATGGCAGAATCATTTTTAGGTAAGAACCCTTTCTCTTTGCAGACCCAAAATAAACCCAGGTGCAACCTGCCCAAGGGGTTTGTGGTACCCGGCAGACAATTCAAGAGGCACGTGTGACATGGTGATGAAAATATCACAATAAGACGAATGACAAATGGCTGCCCTTTAACAGTTCCCCCCAAAGCGGCAGGTCACTTTGCTGTGCTTAGTGCAGGGCAGGCCCTAATGGTGAACCAGAGAAACAAGGACATTCATGCTGCGAGGCAGGAGGCAATCTAGGCAGCCCTATTAAGGCAGCACATTTCAAGGTGCCCTTCCTGCACTAGAAGCACCACAGTCAGCTCTCAGAACCCTTGGAGGTGATTCATTGACTCTTGTAGGGTTGCCAGGTCCTCCTTAGCCGCCGGCAGGGGAGGGAGGGGGGCTGGTTGCCAGATGCAGATTGGCAAGATCCTGGGAGTTTGTGGATGAAGCCTGGGAAGGACAGGGACCTCTGGGCTGGTTGCCAGATGCAGATTGGCAAGCTCCCGGGAGTTTGTGGATGAAGCCTGGGAAGGAAGGACAGGGACCTCTGGTGGGGTACAATGCCACAGAGTCCACCCTCCAAAGCTTCCATTTTCTCCAGGGGGACTTGTCTCTGTAGTTGAGATGAGCTGAAATTCCAGAGGATCCCCAAGTCCCACCTGTATGCTGGCATCCCTAGACTCTAGCCAGACAAGGCCCCAAGCTGAGCAACTGAAAGGCATAAACCCTTGAGCCAGCCATGATGTACAGCACAATCCAAAGCAGACTGACTCTTCTAAACCCATTTTCTGCGGTGGCCTGAGAATAGTGTGACTCTGTTTACGATTGCACTGTTAATGTTGGAATGGTTGTGCCTTCCTTGCCAGCAGGACCCTGCAGTCCAGGCTCATCTGGGAGAGATTCAAACCCGACAATTCTTGTAACTGGAAGGCTTTAACTAACAGCATTTCTGTATCCTAGGCATAAATCACCTTTCAACCTCTCTCCTTCTATTTCTGTGATGTCTGATCTTTTTTAAATAGGAGAAGGAAGCCAGAAGAGAGGTATTTGTAATGCAAATGGGTATTCTGTCCACTCCAAGAATTACATTTCTTTTACACACTGATTAAGGCAAGAATTTCTTAGAGCCTCATCAGTGAAGTCCCTAGATCAGGGAGTTCTCTTCCTCTAACTGCTGGAACGGCAACAAATCTTGGGGGGATGTGATAGATGCCTATTCACCTTGCCTTGCCTCCCTCCTGCACATTCCCTTCCCCTCTTTTCCCAGTGCTTATATCATTGTGATGCAGGCTTGCAAATAAGCACTCCTCTGACTGCTTAGGGGCACTAAGAATTCCTTCCAGTCCACTTTCTTTTGCTGGGCTACAAATGACTAACAGATATGTAGGTAGGATCTCCAGGGCCACCATCTATTTAATGCAGTTCTGGCTGCAGCCACTAGGGGATGCAGGGATGTCTGAGCACAGTAAAAGGCGCTCTAGTACCGGCTGACTTCCCTTTCTCCAAGACTGAAGCAAACTTGCCTTACAGATCTTTTCCTGCTCAACAACCCCCCCCCCTTTTTGCAATTTAATTCCAGCAGTAAATCAAGGAGGCTTATGGAAACCTTGGTGGACTGCCACATGTGACTGGTGAACTGCATTTGGCTCAGTGGGCTACAATTACTTAGGCGTGAGCAATCCTCTGCCTTGAGCCCTGTAACATCTACAACTCAGAAGCCTACCTAAATCCAGCAGATTTTGAGGGGCCAGAGTACTAAAAGTAGACATAAAAGACCAATACGTACGATCTATACAGGCTATCCGTGGCTCTTCCCACTGTCCATTGGGTTGACACCGAACTGTAGGCACATGGCGCTGTAGGTAGCCCTGGTTGCACTTGTACCGCACCATAGAGTTGATCTCGTAGCGATCCTTCTTCTTGCCAAAGTGCCTAGCATTCTCTACCACAGGTGGATTACTGCAGGCAACTAGCAGAGGAAGAAAAATCCTTCAAGTCCACTCAAAGTCCACTGTCCATTCAAAGCAGCACATTAGTGATGATGCTCCTAACTGAACAGATCTGGAGAAATTAGTCACATCAATGTGAATGCTCTCTCAGAATCTTCATCAGTTATGATCTTAAGGTTCTTTTTGCTAACACGTGGCAAAATCTTCTTTACCACTTGGTAGAATGAGACAAACAACCAGGCCAGCCACGTATGAGACTGCTAACCCTAGGGGTACTTTGGTCATCTACGCAGACTCTGTGTCCCCTATGGGGAAGAAATTCAGGGCCTATTCAGGTTGTCTTTGTAGTTTACTTTCTTTTTCAAGCCATTCACTTCTAGCCCTCTCTGTCATAAAATTCCGGAGGATGGAAGGGGCAGGTATGAAGCCATATATCTGTGTGTATGTGTGAAAGGAGTTAGATTAGCTTTGCTTGCAACATTTTCCCATGAGAACAACCCCAAGGGTCTGGCCATAGCGAACATCTCACCCTTGGAGGAACATCTGCTGCTAGATAATAAACTTTGTAGTGTAGGTATAAAGGGGTGGTGGTGAATGAGGGGGAGCAGCGAGTGAATGCCCACTGCATGACCAGTGCATCATGGGATACTAACCTGTTGCCTATACAATGCTTAAACCTTTGATCTGTCCTTTAGTCTGAACAAGAGTTTTCTCTTGTGCATATCCAAATCTCAGTTTTAATAAAGCTTTTCTTTAAAGGCAATAGACTGAGAGTGGATTAACTCAAGGGTCTGACACATATAGAGGATGGTACAGAATTGTTTTTTTGTTTCCCAGAAGGTCGGACCAGAACCAGTGGGTTGAAATTAAATCAGAAGAGTTTTCGGTTAAACATTAGGAAGAACTTCGTGACAGTTAGAGTGGCTCCTCAGTGGAACAGGCTTCCTTGGGAGGGGGTGGGCTCACCTTCGTTGGAGGCTTTTAAGCAGAGGCTAGATGGCCACCTGACAGCAACACTGATTCTGTGAACATAGGCAGATCATGAGAGGGAGGGCAGGAAGGGCTGCATCGGTGCTTAGTTCTTGTGGCCCTTTCTGACACGCCCACGGAAATGCTGATTGCCACTTTGGGGTCAGGAAGCAATTTTTATCCAGGCCACTTTGACCAGGGATCCTAGAGGGTTTTTGTTTTTTTTTGCCATCTTCTGGGCATGAAGCAAAGTTCACTGAGGGTTTGTGGTGGTGGGAGGTAGTTGTGAATTTCCTGCATTGTGCAGGGGGTTGGACTAGGTGGCCCTGGAGGTCCCTTCCATGATTCTATGGCACAAAGATTTTAGCTAAACAAGTGAATATGAACAGGAAAGAATTTTTTAAAAAAACCCCAAATGAATGTAGTTATGAGCCCAGAGCACTGCACCTACAATGGAAGAGATGCCTGTTGTATCTCTGCATGAACTATTGCTTTGCATACTCAAAATTCACTTGGAAGAGAATAATTCTTTGCATTAGATGAAATGGATGCACTAATGGTCTTAAGAAGGGTGCAACTTTGCTTAGGACTGCAGTACCAGTCACTATGATACAGAAATATTTGCCCTCAGAGGAGGCTGCCTGTTGAGTTTCTGTTCTGGTCTGGCTACCTTCCAATCAGGAGGCATAGTCCAAAAAGTTACTCACACAGAAACATAAGAGGTAGTTCTTCACTGTGGGCAGAAGACGATGCTTACTTCTGTATATACAAAAAGAGAAGTTTTTGGATGTAGTAGTAAAGTGTCTGTCTCCAATATGAACTGAGTGGAAAAGAGTGCTTCAGGTGTCAGCAGTTTGGGAACAATAGCATTAGAAGTGGAGGCTCTTGAGGGCATCCTTGGGAGACGCAAGTCTCCTATTTGAAAGCTGTTCTCTGAACTTGTCACTTAACGGAGCAGGGAGCAAGCTCTTTGCAAAGTTATCTTTGCCTTTCTTCTTGGCTTCACACAAGGTGGGGGATTCCATACCACAGCTTTTGTCTGGTGTGCTCTCCGTGAGTGCTGCTGTTGCCAATGTTGCTAAGAGCCTCCTGTTGCCTAGTCCATCAGCCAGGCTCAGTGGCTGCAGAAATAGTGGGACTCATTTCCTTTGTTATGTGTGGGAGCCAGGATGGGAGCTATAAATAATTAAGTATAAACCGGTCTTCTTCTTCTGCCCCATTTTGAGAGTCAACTGCAGACTGTGTTGTCTTTGAAACTTAGCCATGGTGATGCTGGAACTGGAGGGCAAGCCAGGATATTTAGGCTGAACCTTGAGAAAATGGTGGGAGGACTGTGATGGGTACACCCCCTCCCCCACTTTTTCAAGTTAAAAGCAGGCAGGGAAGGATGGAGGCTCAGACTGAGGACATGGCACGAGGTGTTCCTTCCTCAGGAGGCTGAAGTTGGTTCCTTATTCGCACTTCCTTATTCGTTACTTATTCGTGTAGTCATTCAGAAACACTAAGGAGAGTGAGTTGGAAAGCTCTGAACCCCTGAACCCCAAAATAAGGTCTGGACCACCACATATCATATACCCCCACATTCACAGGACTCTCCCCTTCGAGGGGACATATGCTGTATCCTGGTCCAAAGCACAGTTCTGGTGCCAGCTGCTCCAAAGTGCGGTGCCCCTAGGACAATCACACAAGCAGACACTGGGGCCAGGCTGCCCCCCAAAATAATCTTTGAACCACCCCAAAGGACCCATCCTCACGCTCTGGAGACTGTGCCTTGCAAGGTGACATACAGTGATGCCCGGTCCAAACACCGGTTCTGATGCCACAAGCTTCTGATGAAGGGGGGGGGGATGGTAGAAGGTGCAGAGTGGGTGGAATGACCTTGATGTGGGCAGGGGAGTGACATTCAAGGGGTGGGAAAAGGGCAGGGGGAAATCTGAGGGAATCTGTATGCTTTTGAATTACCTTCAACTTGGAAGTGAAACAAAGGAAAAATGATCACGAAAGCATTCTCAGAAAACCCGGGGAAAGAGCAATCAGAAAGCAAACTGAGCGCTGAATGGAGGAAAGTAAATTCAGAATGACAAAGAAAACCTGATGGTCATGCACGATGAAAGCAAGGGAAAGCACTGTGCATTAGTGTGAATGGCTCATTGAATCACTGCTAACCAGCCTTCAAACTCTCACTGGAGCCTTTAATTATGACATTTCCTGTGGCACATTAACATATTTCTCAAGTCACTCCTGTGTGCTCCTTTAAAAAGGTAAAGGTTCCCTTGCTTGAAAGCCAGTCGAGTCCGACTCTAGGGTTGCGGTGCTCATCTCCGTTTCAAAGCCGAAGAGCCAGCGCTGTCCGAAGATGTTTCCGTGGTCATGTGGCCGGCATGACTAAACACCAAGGCTCACGGAACGCTGTTACCTTCCCACCGAAGTGGCACCGATTTATCTACTTGCAATTTCTTGCTTTCGAACTGCTAGGTTGGCAGGAGCTGGAACTAGAGACGGGAGCTCACTCCATCACGCGGCACACTCGGGGGTCTCAAACTGCTAAACTACCAACCTTCCACAGCCTGCAGTTCAGGGTCTTAACCACTTGAGCCACCGCAGCTCCTTACATAGTTATAAAAGGACTGATGCAAATACTTATAACCGCACATTGCCATCAACAGAAATAGCCAGGCACTTTCCTATCCTGCTGTGATCGAGCTCCAATTGAGAATCCCTTCCCCAAAGAAAATTTGAAACTTATTGGTTTTCTATACCAGGGAGCAAATTTTGGGAGTGAATTTTGGCTGAAAAGTTGAATAAACATATAACCGATCAAGTTAAACCAAGATCCCTACAAGTAAAATGGACTTAGCTCTTACCTGTTCCTTTCTTGCAGGTGAATGGGAGGTGATAGTTGCAGGGCACATCATTCCACTCTCCTTTCTCATGCCAAATCATTACCACACAATCTTCTCCTGTGGCAAAGAAATTATCGGGCTGGTTGGGTCGCCAGTTCTCATATTGCTGGTGTGGGGAAAGCAGAAAATGAAAATTATGGTGAGAGTGAGAGAGTGAGAGATGCCTGCCCATAAACTCTTACAGTGCTTTAACATACATTCCTTTTTCCTCCTTAAAATCAAGGGGAGAAGGAGATTTCAGAATGCATGGAGAAAACTAGGCTAGACCACTTCTGCCACAGAACCAAACTAGACGTGATGTGGTAGGTCTATAATCATGGTCTCTCTCTTCTTTTAAAAAAGATAATAACCATGGGGAGGGGAGCAAATCTGAGCTTTTTCCCCATTTTCCTGATGCAGGTCACACCCTCACAAGCTGAGTTTGCCCTTCAGGGAAAAACATACAGCTACACGAATGTTACGGGCACATTTCGTCCCATGGAGCAAAGAACATCCCTGTACAGAAGAGGGTGTCAGCAAGCTGCCAATGAGTTCTGTATGTGCATAAAGTCTTCCCTTGGGTCTAGATGCCAAGGAGTCCTGTGTGTGTTTCCCTCCCCCCCGCTCTCCCGTTAGTCACGCGTATGCCTACTGCAGCCTCATGCATTCCTTTCCCCGTACGCTACTGTTGTTTCCAGTTATCGTAATCTGCAAGGTCACAGGTGGAGAGTCGGCTTAGCTTTTTTATAATGAATTAACGTGTGAGAAGAATATAACTGTTTATCTCTCTTGAACCGTTGATTCCCAAGCTTTAGGCGCGAGTTGCAAACTCACCCGTGTGAGCGGGAACTATGTCTATTGGTTACAGCTTTTATGAATTGCTTTATTATACTGTGCCCTAACCGTTCTGGTTATTCCAAACAGTGATTTTGTTCTAGACACTTCATGGCTTCATTAAAACAATACTTTGCTACAAACGTGTGTTTTGATTGACAGCTGTGGTTCTGACAGAGGGTGGCTTAAATTGTGACAGGGTAATATTTAGAAACCCCACCCACCCCATGCCACACCCTGATCTGAGCCCCCATGTGATTGACATTACCTTTTTTTTTCTACAAAAAAGAAGAAATTCTGATCATTCATCTCCTGTATCATGTGTATTTTAGCCCTAAACTGGTACAATATGAGTAAGGAGTTCATTGTGTGATTCTGTTCATTGTGTGGCTTGGCTATGACTCTCAACATTGTCTCCTTGGTGGTAGCCTGACATCACAGAACATAACTTACCAGGGAGTGTCCATCAGACCACCGGAAGTCATGCTCAACGGCCCTGTCACTGAGGCCAATCCATTGGTAGTCCTGGGAATTGTCTGGAAAGCAAAGAGAAATAGAGTTGAAAGATTAAACTCAAAGGCAGTCTGTTTGTAAGAGGAAATATTTTCTTTATGAGAAGTGATTCCCCCCCCCAGGTTATTTTAATAAGATTTATTCCCCCCTAGAAATTACTCCAACACAGAGGCCCTCTTCAGAAATGAGAGAGACTAAGAACATTTTCAAGCATGAGGCACAAGACACAACAATTTAAAGCCAGAACCACATATGTGTAGTCCTACAACTGTTCCCCCCCAACCCCATGAGCTGCTGTTTATCATGTAAAGCACTCATGAAGGGCTTCAGATTGCTTGGAGATGGGAGGGGGGGAGGTTTAAAGGGCAAAGACATTTTAATCCTTTCCTTCTCAGATGTTGCCCATTCAGAATCCCCTCACCCTTGTCTTGGAACCCACACATTACCAACTCAACTACTAGGTCTGCAATTTAAATGGGGGAAGACGGCAGCGCTTTCCTCTCTTCCTGCCCTTCCCCAAAACTGCTTTTAGCCCTGCTGGAAAGGAAAAACAGCCCCTTGTCTTGTGTCTTGCAAGCACATTCTGCCAGGTCTGGAAATATTTTTAAAAAGAGCATGTACAAACACAGAAGCAAAGAGCAGGGTACAAACCAGAGGTGCCAGTGCAAGCAAGACATAAGAGGCCAAAGCTTCCCACTGCTGGTGGCTTCCAGCACTGCCTCTCAACATGAAGGTTCAATTTAGGGCATCATGGCTAATGTCCACTGATGGTCCTATCCTCCATGAATGTGTAAGCAACAGCTGCATATTGAATATGACCATTGGTCCATCCAGCTCTCTATTGCCTATTCTGATTGGCTGAAACTTTGCAGGCAGAGAGGGGTCTTTCTAAGCACCAGGCTTGTGATATTATTTAAATGGACATGCGACAAATTGAATCCGTGACCTTCTGTGTGCGGATCAGATGCTCCATCACTGACCTGTGGGCCCTCCACTCACATTTGCAGCATTCTGAGCTAATTTTTTTTTCACTGCAAAGGATCTGTGTTCAGACTACGGGCTTAAACTCTTTCAAGTGGTACTAGATTGCTAGTGAATGCATGCCCCCCAAAATCTGAGGTGAACTTGAGTATATTGGTTTGAGAATCCAAGTGTAATACCAAGTCTAGCCATCACACTTACTGTTCACAAACTCCTGTTCCTCTGGAGTGATGATGCTACTCAGGTGGGACTGGTATTCACGGCACAAGTTTTCAGCATCCACCCAAGTGTGTCTCTCTTCAAAATATTTGTAGCAATTGCCTTGGAATTTGGTCCAGCCCACTTCACATTCTGCCAGATCTGGAAATGTTAAAAAAAAGAACATGTACAAACACAGAAGCAAAGAGCAGGGTACAGATCAGGGGTGCCATTTGGCCTGGCCTCCTTTTTGGTGTTTAACAGATATATGATATGCAGAAAATGGTAGTTGGAGCGTCTGTGACCTGGCAGGTTTTATTTTTTAAAATTTATTTATTTATTAGGTATTTCTACCCCGCCCTACCCCACGAGCGGTTATCATATGCTTCAACACTCCCTATGTGCCGCCAGGTATAATCCTTATTTTGTGTTTGGATCAGATTTTAACAACAGCTTTTTTAAACATTGTGGGTACGACACTAAGTTCCGTTTCACCCTCCTCTGGTCCACAGTAGCTCCCTAGTCAGTTAATGGACATTGCTGTGTCTGAGGTATGGTTGCCAAGTCCCCCCGGCCACCGACAGGGGATGCAGGGGTAGGGTTGCCATCTCCAGGTTGGGATACTCCTGGAGATGGCGCCTGGGGAGGGCAGGGACCTCAGCGGGGCACAGTGCCACAGAGTCCACCCTCCAGAGCACCCATTTTCGCCAGGTGGACGGATCTCTGTAGTCTGGGGATGAGTTGTCATTCTGGAGGTTGGCAACCTCAGTGAAGTGGAAGTGAGCCACTGCATTAAGCATGTCGTGCTTTCCCAAAAGACACTGTGCTCCGTCAGCTCACACAAAACAGTTTGGGGTAATAGAAGCTGGACTTAGTTTGTCCACTAAGGAGATGAATTCTTTTGTAGCTGGGAAGTGGGATTAAAAATAGACACCCGAGACAAATAGTGTCCCTCTTTCTCTGTCACTTCAGTCTCCTTCATTCCTTTGCAATTTAGCTTCCCATCTCATTCCTGTTCTCTAACATGTTCCTTCATCCCTTCCTTTCTTTGCAATCTAACCTTTCTCCCCCCCCCCCATAATTTAGCTTCCCTTTTCTTTCCTTCCTGTTCTGTTATTTTCCCCTCCTTTGTGTTCTCTGTCATTGCTCCTTTCTCTCATCTTCCTTTTCTTTCTTTGGTTACAAAACCCTCCAGTGTGTGTGTTTGCATTTGGGTGATGGAGTTGGAAGAGCCCTATTGCCAGGCTCTCCATGCATCTTTCAATTTACAGCGCACCTGTCATTGAGAGAGGAGGCTCCCTCCCTCCCCTTGAAGTCTCTGGGGCTTGTCACCTTCGCAACACCAAATGGCCTGGCTTCTCAAATGTCTGATCTTACTTCCTTGATATGTAAGGCTACGGTGCCTTTAGGAGAAGGGGGTGGGGGAAGCTGACAGTTACTTCTGGCAGGCAAAATACTGGGCGGTGATTGGGTCCTGATCTTTAGTGCTTTTACTTGGATCCCCTATATCTGTAACCTTCCCGCGTTTAGCTTCAGTCCAAACAATAGATGTGTCTAGGATGGTATCTACCAACTGTCTCAATAAAGTTAGCTTTCTGCAACTGGCTGTTGTTGAGAACTGATTGAACCGGGAACCTGACACCTGTGCAGGCTGCTTATGCAGGACAGCGGAAGCCCAATACAGAGTAGATGCAGAGTAAATAAAGAAATCATAGAGCAGGCCAAGGTCAGTATTGTGTAATAATGGAGAGAATGGGGTTCACAGGCAATACTTTTATTACTTTAAACTTAGTGTCAGCAAGCTGCCAAATGTTTATTCTTGTCTGTATAATTCTCGATACGCTGTTCCCCCCCTCCATACATGCGCTCAGGTTGTCATGCGCACATTTGCCCTGTTGCTTTGCATTCCTTTCAGTATACGCCAGCCATGCTTTGATGTAACGTTATCTAGCCAAGGCCACAGGAGGAAGACTAAGTGAGCTTTGCTTTGTCTGTAATTATTAGAGACTGTGTGAATCACATTATTATTTATAATAAAGTAGCAGTTGCTTTCCCAAGGTTTGGGCGCACTAGAAACCCTTTGGGCGCACGTGGGAACCATGTTTATTGGCTGTAATGATTATGAACTTGCTTTAACCTTTCCAGCTCTCTGTGTAATTGTTATTCTGAACAGTGGCTCTGTTCTAGTGCTTCATGGCTTCAATAAAGTAAAACCTTCTTGCAAGTGTGTCTACGTTGAGTGCTGTGGGGACCTGACACTTAGGCTGTCAAGACCTGGGGTTATATCCCATTTCAAGCCACAAAGCTCAGTGGATGACCTTGGGCTAGTCATTTTTTCTCAGTATAACCTACCTCACAGGACTGTTGTGAAGAAAATAATGGGCTCACCCCATCCATGTATACCACCCTGAGCTCCTCGGAGGAAAGTTAGGACATAAAGGTAATGAATGATATCTTAAATATTACAAATATTTACATAAGAAAAATGAGGATGACAATGGTGATGAAATCGAGGGGCGAGGGCATTGTTTGTGTCCAGAAGGTACTATGGTAACACTGAGGGAACGTTTTGAGGAAAATAGCTGGCAGACAAAAAATCCCTGAGACAAGCTGTCAGGCCTTTAAATTATTTGACATGAGTTAGTGGGGCATTATTCCATGCATGTGAAAATTAAAAAGGATCCTTGAGTTTTACTTTACATGTCAATGTGAATTGATGTGTATGTAGTGTATGCTGTATTCTTATTGTGTACTGCATGTATGTTGTAAAGATACTAATAAACACAAAGAGAGAGAGAGAGAGGTTTATATTTAATTTCTATTAATATTTTACTGTTTTGCATCTACTGTATTTTTAATGCATCTGTTTGTCAATGAATAGTCTCTTGCTTTGCAGGAAGCTTAAAGATATTTTTATCACATATTGGAGAACCTCAGTGATTAAGGGGTTGGAGTGCCTTGCCTACAGGGAAAAGTCTGGGACATTTGGGGCTTTTTCGTTAGGAGAAAAAGACAACTTAACATGAACACGAGACCACAAGAGACTTATAAAACACAAGAAAGAACATGAAAGGCTTATAAAATTATGGATGATGTGGAAAAACTGGATAGAGAGAAGGGTTTCTTCCTCTTAGTGCTATAACTTGAGAGTTGCTCAGTGAAATGGGCTGGTCATATATCAAAGATGAACAAAAGAAAGCACATCTTCATACAGTGAACTATTGGAATTCACAGCTAAAATACAAGTTGATGATGGTTAACCACTGGTCAGCCTCTGGTTTAGATGGCTTTCAAAGAAGATTAGAAAACTGCAGGGAGGGAAAGGGTCGAGCTACAGCTATTAGCTATGATAGTGACACAGAACCTCATGTTCAGAGGCGGTTTTCTCTTAATACCAGTTTTTGGTGAGGGGGGGCATGGCAGTGTGTGTGTGGTGGAGAGATATAGCATTCATGGCCTGCTTGAATGGTTCCCAAAGGCAGGTGGTAGGCTGGTGCTGTAAACAGAATGGTAGACTAGATGGATCTTTGGTACAGGGCTCTTTCTCTATCCTGACATTTGTTTCAAGATACATCTTCAGTGGAAGTTTCTTGAGCTTATTCTAAAAAGCAGATGTACTTTGGTAGACAATACCACAACTAAGCTTAGATACACTGGCCTTCAGCTAATGTGTTGGTACCCCCACCAGTAGCATCAATATACTTTTTTCTCATTATTTATGGGAGTTTCTTTTAAATCTCAGATGCACTTAGAACAAAATGTGCCAAGATAAAAAAACTAGTTGGTTGCCATATAAAAGATAAATGCAGGTTAGTAATCAGAGGGACCATCATTTTCTCTGGTACAACATATTTTACCAGGAGAGTGGGCTAGATGGGAGCATTTGGGGCAGTTAGGTTGCTTTCCCACTCCCCAGGAAGGGGCAAGTAGTGCAGCTGTTAGTAAAATTAGCTGAAGCCCGGTCGTTAGGCCGTACCGATGTCACAGAGGTCCCCTCCGTAGCTGGGAAGGCATAAGCATTTGAAAGTGTGGATGCCATCGACGCAGGTAGCTCCATTCAGACAGGGGCTGGAGTGGCACTCATCAATGTCTGCAAGAAATCAAGGGCTGCCATTAGGGTGGGCAGTAACTCCATCAGCAGGAGAACTTGTTTCCTTGCTTGGCTGTGAGGATGGGATGAATGTCAGTGGCTTGGGGATGCAGTGGGAGCGACTTGGAAAGGAATGCCAACTTTCATTTTAGAACTGCTGCTTCTGCTGCTGAAGAAAAATAGGAATGGAGAGTGGGAAGAAATCAATCTGCAGACAGGCCAATAAGCAACTGCCTGGGTGCCAAAATGCCAGGGATATATATGCCTGAACTACGCAAGTGTCTTGCAAAGAGACAGAGAGAGTGTCACTCCCTGCATTTTTTTAGAGGAAGCCCACAAAGTCAGTTTAATCGTTCAAGAGCCTTCTGATGTTCATTGCATGCCCAGAACATAGACAGGGTGATAAAGACAAAGAAAAGAGAAAGTGACAGATATTAACAATGAAAAAGAAACAATAGTATCTTGGTCAATTCAGGTCAGGGCCCCTAAACTGATATCCAGGTAGAGATCTTAAACCCTAGTGCCAAAGTCGCTTAGCAACTGGAGGACCCTAATATACCTCCTTGACCACCATCTGACAGAGGCAAATGAATCTTGTTGAAGAAGAATGGCTGTTGCAATATGATTTCTGTTGATGGTCTCCTTTGGTAGTCAGGTAAGTTCACCACCTCCTCAAAGTGCCCCCATTGTAAAACTAGTTACACATTAGGGGCATTGCACAGCTGAACCATGTTTTCGAGTGACCTATTTGCATTACTGTTGGACCTAGGCCCAGTTATGCCAGCACAGTATATTTCATGGGGTGGGGGAGAGAGAGCTCAGCCTGGATCTGGCCCTGGCTTTGCTGGCAAAAGACTGTACAGATTCCCCCCCCCCCAGTTCAACAAACCAAATGGTAGCCTCTCAAAGAGCAAGAAGATGATAATGACTGTGGAAAGAATCATAGAGTCATAGAGTTGGAAGGGGGCATACAGACAATCTAGTCCAACCCCCTGCCCAATGCAGGACCAGCCTAAAGCATCTCTGACAAATAATCGTCCAGCCTCTTCTTGAAAGCTGTCAGTGAAGGGGAGCTCACTGCCTCTCTAGTCAGCTAATTCCACATTTGAACCACTCTGACCGTGAAAAGGTTTTTCCTTTGTATCCAGCCGATACATTTTTGTGTGTAATTTAAACCCGCTGCTTCAGGTCCTATCCTCTGCTGCCAACTAGAACATCTCCTTGCCCTCCTCCAAATATTTAAAGAGAGCAATCATGTCCCCCCTCAATCTCCTCGTCTCCAAACTAAACATTCCCAAGGCCCTTAGCCTTTCCTCATAGGGCTCAGTCTCCAGACCCCTGATCATCCTCGTCGCTCTCTTCTGCACCCTCTTGATTTTGTCCACATCCTTTTTGAAGTGAGGCCTCCAGAACTGCACACAGTACTCAAGGTGTGGCCTGACCAAGGCAGTATACAGGGGGGCTATGACCTCCTGCGATTTAGATGCTATGGTTCTTTTAATACAACCCAAGACTGAATTTGCCTTTTTTGCCACTGCATCACACTAACTGCTCATATTTACTTTACAGTCCACCCTTACCCCAAGATCTCTTTTGCATACACTACTCCCCAGAAACGTATCCCCCATCCACTATTTGTGCTTGATATTTTTGTGGCCCAGATGTCATACTGTGCATTTATCTTTGTTGAACTGCATCCTGTTTGCAACTGCCCACTTCTCCAGAGTATTCAGGTCTCGTTGAATTTTAACTTTATCTTCTTGGGTGTTTGCTACTCCTCCCAACTTGGTATCATCAGCAAATTTAATGAGTAGCCCTTCTACCCCTTCATCCAGATCATTGATTAAAATATTGAAAAGTACGGGGCCCAAAACCAAGCCCTGCGGCACCCCACTGGACACCTCCCTCCAATCTGATGAAATGCCATTGACCACCACCTTTTAGGTGAGGTCCTTTAATCAGCTCCTTATCCACCAAACTGTCCTATAGTCCAGCCCATGGTCTTCCAGTTTGCCCATTAGAATGTCATGGGGAACCTTATCAAAAGCTTTACTGAAATCCAGGTAAATCATATCAACAGAATTCCCATGATCCAGTAATGTCGTCACATGATCAAAGAAGGAAACCAGGTTGGTCTGACAAGATCTGTTGGGGACAAAACCATGCTGACTTCCCCAGATCACGAAGTGGTCCTTCAGATGCTTACAGATCGATCCCTTTAAAATCTGCTCTAATATCTTCCCAGCAACAGAAGCCAGACTGACCGGCCTGTAGTTTCCCGGGTCATCCTTCTTCCTTTTCTTAAATATTGGGATAACATTCGCTCTTCTCCAGTCTTGTGGCACATTCCCAGTCCTTCAGGAGGCCTTGAAGATGATGGACAAAGGCTCTGCATGTTCATTAAGCAGTTCTTTGAGCACTCTTGGGTGCACACCATCTGGCCCAGGGGATTTGTATTCGTCCAGTGCAGCCAGGTGCCTCTCCACAACTTCCCTGTCAATGTCAACTGGACCCTCATGTATCCTGTTATGTCCTATACCATCTCTAGATGGGCTCGAGTTCTTCAGAGAGAAAGCAGAGGCAAAAAAGTCATTAAGCCTGTCTGCTTTTTCTCTGTCCTCCACCAGAGTTTCTCTTTCTACTCCCAAAAGCAGTCCAATTGCCTCTTTTACCTTGCATTTGCTTCTCACATACCTGTAGAAGTTTTTCTTATTGTAGCGAGCCCCCCTGGCCAGACCCAACTCATACTGAGCTTTGGTTTCCCTGATGGCTGATCTGCAGTACCTAGTAACTCTCATATACCCCTCTTTAGAGGTCTGACCTTCTCTCCATTTCCCTTCATTTACTTTTTGTCCCTTAACTTATTCTGAAGCTCTCGGTTCATCGACATCAGTTTCTTGGAGCCCTTACCATGTTTCTGTCTTGCTGGAATAGTGAGGGCTTGAGCTCGCAAAAGCTCATGTTTGAGAAGAGCCCACCCTTCACTCGCTCCTTTCCCTTCCAGCACACTCCCCCATAGAATGACTCCCATCAAGCCTCTGAGTTCGTTGAAGTTGGCCCTATGAAAATCTAACTTATGAGTCTGGCTATTAACTTCCTTGACCCCCCCCCCAGCAACTGGAATTCAAGGAGGACATGGTCACTTCCCCCTAAGGTCCCCACCAGCTTCACCCCATCTACCAATTCTTCCCTGTTGGTTAATATTAAGTCTAGTATGGCCGAGCCCCTTGTAGCTTCCTCCACCATTTGAAAAAGGAAGTTGTCGGCCAGACAGGTCAGGAAATTGCGTGATTCTTGTTGCTTTATTGAGCCTGTCTCCCAGCACACATCGGGGAAGTTGAAGTCTCCCATAATTATAAGGTTCTGAATGTCTGGATACTCTACCAATCTTTTCAAGGAGGGCAGCATCCATTTCCTGTTCCTGGTCAGGTGGTCTGTAGCAGACTCCAACAACAATACCCTTTGTCCTACCTCCCCCTATTTCCACCCATATACTTTCCACAGGGCTGTCAACCCCATTCTCCAGAACTTCCTGACAATCTAGCCCTCTCTTCACATACAGCGCCACTCTGCCTCCTCTTCTACCATTTTGGTTTTTCTTGAACAACTCATACCCATCCACTTCGACATCCCAGTCATGAGAATCACCCCACCAAGTCTCAGTGATTCCTACTATATCATAGCCTTCTGTTTGCAAAAGAATCTCCAGCTCTTCCTTCTTATTACCCATACTATGGGCATTGGTATATAGGCACTTGTAGCCTTGTACTTTTGTTTGAACTGTCCTACCCCGGTGGGCCCCCACTGTTTTCACTTCTTCATTGACATCCCCATGTTGATCATCCCCTTCCCCTTGTGGCTTCAGTTTAAAGCTCTCCTGATTAAGCTCTCCAGGTTCTTTCTGAACGTTTTCTTCCCTGACCTTGAGAGGTGAAGTCCATCATGTGCTAGAAGGCCTTCTCTAAGAAAACTTATCCCGTGGTTCTAGAACCCAAAGCACTCCTGCCGGCACCACCATCTCAGCCAACAATTCACCTTGAGTATGGTCTGTTCTCTTCACACTCCTCTTCCTTTGACTGGAAGGATAGAAGAGAATACCACCTGTGCCCCCAATGCCTTCAACTGCCTTCCAAGAGCTTCATAGTCCTCTTTAATTTTCATGATGGTATTCGTCCCCTCATTCGTCCCCACATGAAACAGCACAAACGGTTACTGATCAGTAGGTCGTATCAGTTTTGGCAGTCAGTCTGTAATATCCTGAATTCTGGCCCCAGGTAAGCAACACATATCTCAGAGTAGGGGATCTGGCTTGGACACATTCCATTCCATATCCCTGAGCAGAGAGTCCCTGACAACCACCACTTTCCGTTTCCTTCTACTTCTGAAGAGGGCACCATCCACTCCCTTTCCCCCGTCTTTGTGGCTCTCCTTCCACCCTGTCAAGCACCTCAAAATGATTCTTGAGCTCCAGTGGACCAGAGTGTCCTCTTAGTCAATGTCTTCGGGTTTGTACTGTAGAACTGAGAGGAGGCTCAGAAGAGAGATCTACTCTTCCTTCTTCTCCTTGACTTTCTTCTTCATGTTCTTGCAGAGTTCCCAGGCTCTTGTCAATGAAATCCTCCCCTTCCTTGATTTCCTGAAGGGTGGTGATCCTCTCCTATAGGCTCTGAATGTTCTCCTCCAAAAGTCTGTCTTCTCTTCTGGGAGTAAAACAAACATGGCACACTCCATGCAGGTGACTGGAAAGGGGCCTTCAGTCGACATCATTGCCATCCAAGTATATTCCAAGAGTACTCTGAGCAGAGTTTCGGGGCCCTCAGGCAGATCCTCAGGCTAAGAGCCACAGGCCAAGAGCCCTTTAGCTCTTGCCCTTTGGCTTGCCCTCTGGCCAGGAGGAGCCTTTTGTTTCAAAAGATCACTTCCTGCCAAGCACAGCAGAGCTCAGCACAGTAGACAAGAATCAAAGCTAAATAAATAAATGCACCAGTAAGTACTTAAGG